AACATATGCTCCAGAAGCTACGTGTTGCTCAGAAAAGCAAGGTTGAAAACCACACCAATAAAAAGATGTATAGCCATATCTGAAGCCAGAAGAGGTTTGATAATCCATTTCCCAGCCCCTGTCTCCATCCAATCAGTCTGGGCAATGGCTCTTAATAGATTTCCAGGGAGGCCGAGTTACTGGGAGGAAGTGTGTAAGAGCAAGTCAGTTTTTTCAAAAAAACAAACAAAAACAAAACTGTTACGTTAAAACAGTGGATTTGGCTATTAATGAGAAATGCCGTATAATCACAGGATGTCTACACACTGCACCAATGGAGAAATTTTATTGTTTAGCCAGTATTGCACCACTTGACATCCGCTGGCAAGTAGTAAACAATAATGAAAAGACCAAGGCATTGACATCTCTGGCCCATCCTCTGTTCGGATATCAGCCAGCACAACAACGCCTTAGCTTTCTAATATCTAAAGAGATACTTGCAGGAACACCTCAGCAAGTGAAAGTCCAAAAGTGGCAGGCTAGACCTCGGAACCGCAATCCATGGCTAGATGGGCACACAGAAGACTGGGTGACTTGGAAGGTGCTGAACAGACTGCTCTCTGGCACCATGAGGTAAAGAGCCAACCTCATGGTGCCAATTAAAAAATGGGGCTACAAAATGGAGTCCACAACATGTGAGTGTGGAGAAGAGCAAACCACAGATCACTTACTACAATGCAACCTGAGCCCTGCCACATGCACAATGGAGGACGTTCCCACAGCGACACCAGAGGCACTCCAAGTGGCCAGCTACTGGTCAAAGGACATTCAGTATAATGCCAAGTTCTTAAACTGAGCCCCCATAACCCACTCTACATCCTGCTGCAGTTGGAGGAGGGTGGACCATAGATGATGGGACTTCAAGTACCTTCACTCGCTTCCTGAAAACAATGCATTCATCATCCAATGACCAATAAAGACCAAACTTGGCATAGAGAACCATCATTACCCACTTTATCTAAAACCTGGGCAGCGCCGGGTTCCCAAGCTAGTAAATAAATAAAAATAAATTATTATTACTATTATGTTATATATTTCTAACATAAGCCCTGCCTCGAGGACCCTCCGTGACTGTGATGATTTAGGATAATACTGCATTTTGAAATAGAAATCCCCATCAGTGAGGGAGCCTTACCAAGAGAGTCCACAATCCCATGAATCTCCTCCATGACCTGCATGTGCAAGACTTTCTGATCAGGATTCAGGAGAACCCATTCCTCCAGGGAGAAATCAACAGCCACGTCCTCAAAGGAGATTGGGCCCTGGTGGAAAAAGAACGCATTTCCTTCTCATATAAGGGCTATCAAGAAAAGTAATTACAAGAAAATGTTTAAAGTAGATTTACATCCCTGTTGGTTGCTTGAAAGGGAAAGGGCTAAGGCCTCTATGCCATAGTTTAAGCCTTGTAAAGATGTCCAGTTGGTCATAGTCAGAACCATTTCTTAATTGATAGTAGAATCAGAAATGGAATCTGATCATGCTCCAACTTTTATTCTGGTGCCCAGAACCAGACACAGTGTTATTTCAGCTGACGTTTCACCAAAGCAGAAAGGTCACCATGACTTCCCTTAATCTAGACCAGAGGTCCTCAAACTAAGGCCCGGGGGCCGGATGTGGCCCTCCAAGGTCATTTACCTGGCCCTCACTCATGGTCAACCTAAGTGTGAAACGACTTGAAAGTACACAACAACAACAACAATCCTGTCTCATCAGGCAAAAGCAGGCCCACACTTCCCATTGAAATACTAATAAATTTATATTTGTTAAAATTGTTCTTCATTTTAATTATTGTATTGTTTTTAAGTGTGTTTTTTTGCACTACAAATAAGATATGTGCAGTGTGCATAGGAATTCATTTATGTTTTTTTCAAATTATAATCCGGCCCACCAATTGTTTGAGGGACTGTGACCTGGCCCTCTGTTTAAAAAGTTTGAGGACCCCTGATCTAGATATTATATTCCTTTGGATGCAGCCCAAAATCCCATAGGCTCTTAAGCTGGTGCATCACACTGTTGGCTCATGTTCATCTTGTGGTCTGCAGCCTCCGGTGGCGCAATGGGTTAAACCCTTGTGCTGGCAGGACTTAAGACCAACAGGTCGCAGGTTCGAATCCGGGGAGAGCATGGATGAGTTCCCTCTATCAGTTCCAGCTCCTCATGCAGGGACATAAGAGAAGCCTCCCACAAGGATGGTAAAGCATCAAAACATCTGGGAGTCCCCTGGGCAACATCCTTGCAGACGGCCAATTCTCTCACACCAGAAGCGACTTGCAGTTTCTGAAGTCGCTTCTGACATGAAAAAAAAATCTTGTATTCCACTAACACTCTAAGATCCCTTTCATATGAACTGTTGTCGAGCCAGGTGTCACCCATCCTGTATCTGTGCATCACATTTTTCTCCAGCCTCAGTGTACTGCCCTACATTTATTTATTTACTACATTTGTATACTGCCTTTCTCAGCCCACAGGCGACTCAAGGCGGTTTACAGAGGCAAAATTCAATGCCCAGCAATATTATAAAACATTTAAAAATTAACATAAATATACAATCATAACTAGGTCAATAAAACATAGATCATTAACACCTTCTAGTTAAAATCAAGGTCCAATCTCATCATCCAAACGTTCCATATTCCTATGTCTGTTACAGTGCATTTATTCTTGTTGAAATTAATTTGGTTAGTTGTGGCCCAGCTCTCGAACATGTTAAGGCCATTTTGAATTCTGACCCTATCTTCTAGACCAGGGGTCCACAAACTTTTTAAACAGAGGGCCAGGTCACAGTCCCTCAAACTGCTGGCAGGCCGGATTATAATTTAAAAAAAATGAATGAATTCCTATGCACACTGCACACATCTCATTTACAGTGCAATTTTTTTTAAACATTACAATAATTAACATTAATAACAATTTAAACAAATATAAACTTATTAGTATTTCAATGGGAAGTGTGGGCCTGCTTTTGGTTGATGAGAGAGGACTGTTGTAGTTATTGTGTGCTTTCAAGTAGTTTCATACTTAGGTTGACCCTGAGCGAGGGCCAGGTAAATGTCCTTGGAGGGTCGCATTGGGCCTCGGGCCTTAGTTTGAGGACTCCTGTTCTAGACTATTAGCTATCCCTTTTAATTTGCTATTCTCTGAAAATATGATACGCATGTTGAACAGTACTGGGCCCGGAACAGAAACCTGTGGCATTCCTCCAGTCACTTTCTTCCAGACTGAAGAGGAACCATTAGTGAGCACCCTTTGGGCTCAGTCGCTCAACCAATTTCAAATCCACCTAAAAGTAGTATTCTCTAGCCCACTCCTTTTCCCTATCCCGTTAGCATTTCACCACCTTCTTCAAGCAGAGACCCTATCATTTCCTCATTTTCCTTCTTCTACGGACACAACTACAACCAATGAACCACTTTTTATTGTTTTTAATCCCTCTGGCAAACCTGGGCTCATTTTCTACTTTAGCTTGTCAGACTTTTTCCCTACTTAAGTAACTTAGTCATCTGAATTTCTTGGTGATTTCCCCCTTATTCCAATTCTTGTACACATTACTTTTAAATCTCAGCTCAGTTGAAAGTTTTTTGAACATCCATTCTGGTTTCTTTAGATTTCTCTTACTTTTCCCCCCCTCTTGTTGCCACTGTTTACAGCAGGGGTCCTCAAGCTTTTTAAACAGAGGGCCAGGTCACAGAACCTCAAACTGCTGGAGGGCCGGATTATAAATTGAAGAAAAAAAAAAAGAATGAATCCCTATGCACACTGCGCATATCTTATCTGTAGTGCAAAAACTACTTAAAAACAATAAATAATTAAAATGAAGAACAATTTTAACAAATATAAACTTATTAGTATTTCAATGGGAAGTGTGGACTTGCTTTTAGCTGATGAGATGGAATTGTTGTTGTTGTTGTTGTTGTGTGATTTCAAGTCATTTTAGACTTAGGTTAACCCTGAGCGAGGGCCGTGTAAATGACCTTGGAGGGCCGTATCCGGCCCCCGGGCCTTAGTTAGAGGACCCCTGGTTTACAGTATTTCACTTTTAAGAAACTCCCATTCAATCTTTTCTGTTTCAAGAGATGTTTGATGATGAAGCCTGGAACCAATGACCCCCAGGCAGCTCCCTTCCTCCTCTCCCAGGAATCCTTCTGCTTACCTGAGTCACTTCCACTCCATCATAAAAGGGAAGAAACGACTGAGGATTCAGCAACAACATCATTCCAACCCCTGGGAGAGAGAGAGCAAGAGGTGGAAAGCTGATCACATAAACATGTCTCAGAGGTGACAATCACAGTCCTATAAAGAAACCTATGAGGAAATGACCCAATTAACATAGGAGTATTCTCCAGCCCAAGAATATGTAACATTTTGGAGTTTAGGGCTTTTTAAAATCTCAACCAGTGCTGTGAATAGGCTGGATTGAAACTAGTACTGGGCTTCGTATTTCAATTGACTAAAGTTATTCTTGGTTGTCTGTCTTCCAGCTCAGTTTCAGGGCTCATCTTGGCTTTCGGTTTCACCTGGGAACATACCGTACGGCTGAATTTTCAGTCCTACCCAACAGTATGCAAATGCAGAAGTAGAACAATAAAGAAAACTCCAAATCCCACTGAAATTACACCTTTTGAAACCAAATGCCTACCTATATGCTCATCTCCCCCTATGAAACAGCACGGGTTCTGAGATCTGATGGGGAGGCAATTCAAACAAGCTTTTGAGAACGCCTAGTCTCTAGCTGTTTGTGCAATAGTTAGGCAGCCTTGCACTTCATCCCATGTCCTCTCTCCATTGTTACAGCTCTGCACTTATCCCACTCCCTTGTCCTACTGTTTACAGCCTAGCCATGTTTACAGCAGCTTACCGCCATTCGTTGATGAACAGTTTTATTGAGTTTTAATTGTTGTTTTATATGTCTTTGTGTTTTACTATATTCTATTTTATACTGCATTTTATTTTATGCCTCTTACCCTCCAATGCTGTAGTCTCATCATCTTCCTGCTTGAGCTCCTTCTGCTGGAGGCTCTGGGTGGTGTCTGATGGAGGTTTCGCTGATTCAGAGACATCAGGGTGGAATTCAATGCAGTTATTTTGGATCTAGAAGAGCACAGAAAATTCCATAAGTAGTATAGGGAAAGGTAAGCAAGGATTTTCCCCCAGAGGTGCAGAAACTCCATTCTGAGATTGGCCATATTTTCCCTTCCATCACATTCAATGTAATATCTGGGGTCAAAATATGTAAGTGGAGGAGCAACTGAGCTCACAGTGGATATGGAGATGAGAGCAGGAGGGGCAGAGAAGGTGGGAAAAGAGGCCGAGGGAGCAGAGTCTGACTTATCTCTATCATAGGTCCCATATTGGAAGGAAGGATGTATGTTCAATCTCTCCATCAGTCCCCAGGTGAGTGACACCAAGAGGAAATGCTCTCACCTGTCCTTCCTGCTTCTCGTCCTCTGCCCGACTCAGGAGGAAGCCTTCCGCCAGGGCCACCGCCTGGGAAGAGGTCTCTGCCCCACACTCTCGGACCCAGCTCCCCATCTCTGGGGGCAGGATGCTCAGGAACTGCTCCAGGATCACCAGGTCCAGCATCTCCGCCTTGGTGTGTTGCTCTGGCTTCAGCCACTGGCGGCAGAGAGAGTGGAGGCGGCTGCAAACCTCTCTGGGTCCCTCGCCCTCTCGGAAGGAGGAATGCCTGAAGTGCTGGAACTGTATGTGTTTATCCAGGATCATCTGCATAGTTATTTCCCAGGATTCCCCAATCTTCCCTGGGGCCCTGCCTGCTTCAAGTGAGTTGGGTCTCTCCATGTTGGAACCACCCTAATGAAGAACCAAACCGTATTCAAGATGCTTTTCCTCCCTCTTCTGTCAAGGGAAAAAAATCCCTCAAAGGGCTCTAATCCAAAATTTTCAGCCAACAATCATATTTCCTCTGTGAAAGAAAGGCAGAATTAGACAACACGCTTTGGGAGGCTTTTTCTTGGAGAGTAAAAGAAAACAAAAACCCTGCAGTTGTTTCAGAGCCAGCTAATGCTGGGTCCTCCTTCCACTTGGGCCTCTGCTTCTCCAGCCTCCAGACCCACCTGGCCTCCCATTGAGCTCCCATTCAGTCCCAACCCACACTGAATCCCCCTGTGATTCCTTCAACCGATGCCTCATGATCAATAGCCTTCCTTGTAGAGAAGAACCAAGAAACTTTGAAACATGAGACAAAAATAAACATAATGACCAAAGTGAAATATTCAGAAATCAAGATGACAAATAGAATCTCTGAATTATTTTTTAAAAAACTTTAATTTATTTAAAAAAAAGGCTTTTTCTTTGAGAGTAAAACAAACAAACCCTGAGCCATTTATTTATTTATTCCAGAGCCAGGCAATGCTGGGCCCTCCTTCCACTTGGGCCTCTTCCTCTCCAGCCTCCAGACCCACCTGGCTTCCCATTGAGCTCCCATTCAGTCCCAACCCACACTGAATCCCCCCAGGATTCCTTCAGCTGATGCCTCGTGATCCATAGCCTTTCTTGGACATTTGGATTTAATAATTACAACAAATATAAAGCTTCTCTCTCCCCCCCCCCCCCGCCCCCTTCCTCTTTCTCAATGAGATAGTAGATATTTATATAGTTCTAATCTACTAATCAATATTGGCCTGCATCAATAGGAGCATAGTGTCTAGATCTAAGGAAGTAATGCTACCCCTCTATTCTGCTTTGGTTAGACCACATCTGGAATATTGTGTACAATTCTGGGCACCACAATTCAAGAGAGATATTGACAAGCTGGAATGTGTCCAGAGGAGGGCGACTAAAATGATCAGGGGTCTGGAGAACAAGCCCTATGAGGAGCGGCTTAGGGAACTGGGCATGTTTAGCCTGAAGAAGAGAAGGCTGAGAGGAGATATGATAGCCATGTATAAATATGTGAGAGGAAGCCACAGGGAGGAGGGAGCAAGCTTGTTTTCTGCTTCCTTGGAGACTAGGACGCGGAACAATGGCTTCAAACTACAAGAGAGGAGATTCCATCTGAACATGAGGAAGAACTTCCTGACTGTGAGAGCAGTTCAGCAGTGGAACTCTCTGCCCTGGAGTGTGGTGGAGTCTCCTTCTTTGGAAGCTTTTAAACAGAGGCTGGATGGCCATCTGTCAGGGGTGATTTGAATGCAATATTCCTGCTTCTTGGCAGAATGGGGTTGGACTGGATGGCCCAGGAGGTCTCTTCCAACTCTTTGATTCTATGATTCTATGATTGAGTAGATCAATAGGTACCGCTCCGGCGGGAAGGTAACGGGGCTCCATGCAGTCATGCCAGTGGCCACATGACCTTGGAGGTGTCTACGGACAACGCTGGCTCTTCGGCTTAGAAATGGAGATGAGCACCACACCCCAGAGTCAGACATGACTGGACTGAATGTCAGGGGACTACCTTTACCTTTACTTTAATCTACTAATCTGAGCTTCATAACCTTCATCCCCTTCTTTGTTCTCCTTTTGTCTTTGTGTGGGAAACATATTTTCCTTTGAAATGCATAATAACTTAAGGGGGGGAAAGAGGACCCAGGCAGGCAGGTGAGTGAGTTGGCAAGGGAAAGCCATGGGCCCCTCTCTGCCTGCCTCTCTCTCCCCCCAAGGATCCCCCAGTTGGAGAATCTGATGACCCCCAATCCCATGTAAGTCCAGGCCTGGGCCCAGTCCAGCCCTCCCTCCAAGTGTTTTGGGTTTCAGCCCCTCTTTGGCCCTTTGGAGAAGTAATGGGAAGAAGACTCACCAGAAGGAGAGGAAGGAGGAGGAGGAAAGAGAGAGGCTAAGTGGAGGAGGAGGCCAAAGGAACAGACTCCCCTCTCCCAGCCAGGCAAGGAAGGGTGAAGGGGAGGGGGTTGGGTTCCTAGAGGGGCAGGAAAGGTGTGTACAAGGAGACCCACTTCCTTCCTGCCTCTCTGGGAACCACACTCCCTCCCCTTAACCCTTCCCTATTCCTCTCTCCTGTTTTGGACTTCAACTCCCACAATTCCTAACAGAGGGACACCCAGACATCTGTTTGAAAGCTTCCACCACATTCCAAGGCAGTGAGTTCCACTGCTGAACACTGTCAGGTGCAGCTCAGGAGTTCATAGTATCCATGGGCTTATATAACACGGTGAGTGTGTTAAAAGACCAGGCCTGGGCCCACTCTGGCCCTCCCTCCAAGTGTTTTGGGCTTCAGCCCCTCTTCGGCCCTTTGGAGAAGGAATGGGAAGAAGACCCACCAGAAGGAGGTGGAGGAGGAGGAAAGAGAGAGGCTAAGAGGGGGAGGGGGAGGAGGAGGGGGAGGCCAAAAGGGCCAACTCCCCTCTCCCAGCCAGGCAAGGAAGGGTGAAGGGGAGGGAGTTTGGTTCCTAGAGGGACAGGAAAGGCGGGTCTGAGGAGGCACACTTCCTTCCTGTTTGCCCAGTGTGGAACACATCTCACCACACTAAAACAGTGGGTGTGGTTCTTAATGAGACATGCTGCATTATCATGGATATTATCATGCCACCCTACACCACTGGAGAAATTACACTGTTTAGCCGGTATCGCACCACCTGACATCCGCCGGGAAGTAGCAGCCAATCGTGAAAGGACCAAGGCAGTGACATCTCCAGCTCATCCCCTGTTTGGGTATCAGCCAGCACGTCAACGACTTAAATCAAGAAATAGTTTTCTAAGATCTACAGAGACACTCGCTGGAACACCACAGCAAGCAAGAGTCCAAAAATGGCAGGCTCAAACCCAGCACCTCAATCCATAGCTGATACCCAATGAGAGACTCCCCCCTGGGCACACAGAAGACTGGGCGACTTGGAAGGTGGTAAACAGACTGCACTCTGGCACCACGAGATGCAGAGCCAACCTTAAGAAATGGGGCTACAAAGTGGAATCCACGACATGCGAGTGTGGAGAAGAGCAAACCACAGACCACCTTTGCAATGCAACCTGAGCCCTGCCACATACACCATGGAGGACCTCCTTATAGTAACACCAGAGGCACTCCAAGTGGCCAGCTACTGGTCAAAGGACATTGAATCAACTACCAAGCTTGCAAACTTTGTGTTTTGTTTGTTTGGTTAAAAAATGCATTACAACTGTTTGGTTTGCTCCTGACACAATAAATAAATAAATAACCCTTCTTTGCCCAGAGTTACACTAGAATGAGCCGAAAAGAGCGTCTCTCCAAAGCCCTGGAACCAAAGGACTGAAGATGATGGCAGAGATGTAGCCATGGAAGAACAATTCTGTATTCATAGGGTAGTCAGATATATTCTCTCTCTGCAAAACCCTTGCTCCCCAACCTCACTGAACATTAAGGGTAACCAACCCATCAGTCCAGGGAGCAGAGCCGAGTAGAGCCTCCACCTACAACAGAAAAGGAAGGAGGAAGACATTCTTGGGTGGGAGATCCAACAAAAGCACCCACCACAAGCAGGCTCTTCCTTGCCTTTGAGACATCATTTGCTACAAGAGCTGTTCTCCAAAGCCGCACTCTGCCAAGGCAGGGAAATCTTAATTCAGAGTTTGGTTAGAAGGGTGTCACTGATTTCACATCTCAGTCTTGCACAAAACTATTACAAAGGAGTGGCCAGTATAGCAAGAGTAATAAGCAGATATACCCACCCCATCCCCAGTACAACTGACTGCAAATTCTTGAGGTGCAGATTTTCAACCACCTTGTTAGAATGATAAGTAAAACAAAAATAAAGTCCCAAATAGAATCATAGAATCAAAGAGTTGGAAGAGACCTCATGGGCCATCCAGTCCAACCCCATTCTGCCAAGAAGCAGGAATATTGCATTCAAATCACCCGACAGATGGCCATCCAGCCTCTGTTTAAAAGCTTCCAAAGAAGGAGCCTCCACCACACTCCGGGGCAGAGAGTTCCACTGCTGAACGGCTCTCACAGTCAGGAAGTTCTTCCTCATGTTCAGATGGAATCTCCTTTCTTGTAGTTTGAAGCCATTGTTCCTTGTCCTAGTCTCCAAAGAAGCAGAAAACAAGCTTTCTCCCTCCTCCCTGTAGCTTCCTCTCACATATTTATAGATTGCTATCATGTTGCCTCTCAGCCTTCTCTTCTTCTGGCTAAACATGCCCAGCTCCTTAAGCCGCTCCTCATAGGGCTTGTTCTCCAGACCCTTGATCATTTTAGTCGCCCTCCTCTGGACACATTCCAGCTTGTCAATATCTCTCTTGAATTGTGGTGCCCAGAATTGGACACAATATTCCAGATGTGGTCTAACCAAAGCAGAACATTGAGTACGCTTGAGGTTTTGATAGCGCACCTGACATCCAACTTATGCCTTTTCTCCTGAATCCATTGACCTGGTTGGGGATGGAAAATAGTAATACTGGTTCTTGCACAGAAATGACTTTGAAAGCAAGCAGACCCAGAGGCACTACCACAAAATATACCTAGTAACAATAGTACCACAGATAACCTGCTGCTAGGGAAAGCATTGAAATGTTTTCCAAGATAGTTTGCTCAATCCCTAGATGTGTGCAGTGTCTCTAAAAAGGAGTCACAACAACTCCAAGGAAAATAACACCAGAGAATCAGGTGCCCTTTGTGAGAAGATGGGAAAGGAAGGAAGAGGGGAAAACTGGAAGGAGTGAAGATGGAAGGAAAAGGAGCAGGATAGGAAAAGAATGGAGGCGGAGGAAATGTTGAAAAAAAAAGAAAAGGAAGGAAGAGGAAGAAAAAAAAGAACAAGGGAGGAAAAGAAAAAAGGATGAGAAAGAAAGAAAGCAGTAAGTGAAGAAAGGAAAGGAAGAGAGAAGTAGGGATGGAAAGAAGATAGGAAAGAAAAAGGAAGAGGGAGAAATAGGTGACAAGAGAATAGACGGGAAGAAAGAAAAGGAAGAGAGGGAAGGGAGAAAGGGGAAAGACAGAAATGGCATGGAAAAGGTGTAAAAGGGTGGCACGGGCATGGAGAGGATGGTGCAATCTGGTTTGCTCAGAGTCAGTGGAGGTGGCCCTTGCTCTGGCAAAGTGGCAAACAAAGGCCTCACAAGCAGCAATATTCCACCATAGCAAAGAACATAGCAGCATTACAGCATATTGCTTCTCTTCCTTAGAGTAGCATATTGCTTCTCCAAACTGTATTCTAAAATCCATACAGTTATAACCCACTGGATGTGGCCCAAACATGCTGGCTGACCTACATTACCACCTGCATATAATAATTCACACGAAAAGGTTGATCCTGCTACGACTTACTGTAACAGCCTTGGCTCTTGCGGGGCCCCGGTGTATAGAGGTGAAGGGGATAGGCCCCCAAGAGAGGAGGAGGCAAAGGCATCTTGGGGCACACAGGGAGGCTGGTATGTGCTCCCACTGCCTCGCCTGTGAGCACACACCTAATGTAATGTAATGCCATTACTAATGTAATGGGCACTGTATTTAGTCAAAAAAGGTGTGTCTTAGATTCTCTTAAATACGGTAATCACTTTACTGGTAATTAGATTTTCTCAAGCAATTGGAAGTGATTGGTTGGGAAGCTTGTATTCATTATACAAACGCTGTTGTTTTCACTCTACATCGGCAAACGTTGAACTCCAGGTGTTTGGATTTCAACTCCCAGGAATCCCAGCCAGTTTACCGACTGTTAAGAATTGTGGGAATGGTTCAAAAACACCGGGAGGGCCAAAATTTGCCCATGCCTGCTTTACACAGACAAACTTACTTCCTTCATGTATAAGATCCAGGGACTTAAATTTTTGCAAAATAGATCAAATTCTCAGTCTGTAACAAAATCAATGATACATAATATTGTTAATTCTAAGATAACAACAAGGCTCATGTTTTTCAATTTAATCTGGATTAAAAGTATAAGTGCCAGAAGCAAGGAAACAGCTAGTAAATGCTAGCCAGAGATACGATTTGCACATGGAGGAAATAATAGTATAAGCATCTTTTGCTTTTGCCTGGACTCAACAAAAGCACTGTGTTCAATTCTGGAATCCAAACTGAAAAATAACATTCACAAACTGAAATTTGCAACCAAGGTGGTAAAAGAGCTGGAAACTAAGCCCAGAGGAACAATTGATGGAATTACATATGGTTGTTTTCTTCAGAATAGGTGACATGACAATCATATTTAACACTGCAGGATTGTCACAGGAAGCATGTGTTTTGTTGCTCCAAGAACAGGACCTCCACTTAGGGATTCAAATGTCAAGATAGTGGACTCCACCAAATTGTAGGCAGAACTCAAACAGTTTTGTTTGAAATCAGATGTTTTTTTTAGTCTGTATGTATTCTCTGGTGCTTGTTAAGGGATGAAGTCAGAGTAAAAAAAATTCCACATTTGTGGCATTGGTATGGCCTCTCTCCTGTGTGGAGTCTTTTGTGCCTCACCAAATCTGAATTGTCAGTAAAACACTTCCCACACTCTTGGCATTGGTATGGTTTCTCTCCTGTGTGGAGTCTTTTGTGCCTCACCAAGGCTGAACTGTCAGCAAAACATTTCCCACACTCCTGGCATTCGTATGGCTTTTCTCCTGTGTGGAGTCTTTTGTGCCTCCCCAAGGCTGAACTGTCAGCAAAACATTTCCCACACTCCTGGCATTGGTATGGCTTCTCTCCTGTGTGGAGTCTTTTGTGCTTTACCAAGTCTGAACTGGAAGCAAAACATTTCTCACACTCCTGGCATTCGTAAGGCTTCTCTCCTGTGTGGAGTCTTTTGTGGAGGACCAAGTGTGAACTGTCAGCAAAACATTTCCCACACTCCTGGCATTGGTATGGCTTCTCTCCTGTGTGGAGTCTTTTGTGTTTCACTAAGTGTGAATTGGAAGCAAAACATTTTCCGCACTCCTGGCATTGGTAGGGCTTTTCTCCAGTTTGGTGTCTTTTGTGGCTCACCAAGTTTGAACTGC